CTCTCACCATCTGTGGCCTTCATACGACATTTCAAGTCTCTAGCTCAAAAGATACTGATTTACACCTACAAAAACATAGATTTTAGTTCTGTTCAGTACCTTTTATTACAAAAATGAATATGTTTGCGTTAGCCGTTTCGCCTGGTTGGTAGTGAGGCCCTCAGTTAGTCACCTTTTTAAAATTAATGTGTATTTGGCTACCACATCTTAAGCAATATAAAACCGATTCTTTATTAACTCAATACCAAATAACTCTCAATCTATTTATTATTACAAAATTCAATTTACTCATTTAAATAATATGTACTATTTCTCTTATTTCCAGTCACCTATCAGCAAGTTTTTTTGCAAGGCAAAATATTTGCAAAAACAAAATATTTGCCAAACTTTTCAAAACTCATTTGTATTCATATTTATTTATAAGCTCATTTAATTGGCACCTAAACACGACATTCTAAAAATAGTTGTCGTCTCTGCCATAGTTTTGTTTTGTGTTTTTTTTTTTGTATTCTCCGAAACACGCATTAATGCTATAATTTCGGTATTTTTCGTTTTCTTCGCTTTGTTGGGGTTTTGCGGTCACAGTTGTGGGTGTTTGATTCTATTTTGGGTTTGGGAATTACTTGACTGGAATTCGCAAGTTGATTTCGTAACTCCTTTGCAGTTAATGGCATGAAATTCGAGTGTAATGCGGCTTTGTGAGCTAATGTTTAATTAGCACGCATACATGTGTGTGTGAGTGTGTGTGTGTGTTGATGTGGCTTCACACAAACATTACCGAAAAAGAAACCAAACACCCTCACGCACACACACACACATACATACATACACTGGTGATAACACATTTGGAATAAAAAAGGAAGAAGTTACGATTTGATGTCATTGAATTCAGTGCAAAGTTATCACCAGCAATCCATTTTTAAATTTTCCAGGCTTTGAAAACTTCGTTTCCCTGGTACTGTTGGTTCATACACATATTTCCTTTTTCCTTTTTTTGAATGTGCGTGACTTTGTATTAGCACGTGAGTTGTATGGGTATGTGTTTTGAGAAAAATGTTGTAAAATATTTGTGGTGAATTTCCCACCAAAACTTTGAGTGAAAATGACGTTGGAAAACTTTTCATTGTAGAACTATGCTCAAAAAATTCATTCACATTTTGCCATTGAGTAAAATGTGATGCTAGAGTGTGTGTGTTCATGTGTGTGTAGAGAAGAGTAAAAGCTTTATCCTCGTATTGTCATTGTACTCTGTGTGGTGAAATGGCCAAGCAATAATTCCTATTCTAGGAATTTAACTTCAGTTCTAATCCAAAGGTAATTTTGTTTGTCTGGGAATAAATTGCTTGCTCGGTCTGTCCGTGCCAATAGATAGATGTAAAGATTTCCAATTTATCTTATCATAGATTTCTTGGAAATTGCTTTGGATTAGTAACTTTCATATTTATTTGCTTGGCAATGCTCCAATTGAACGACACGAAAAGAAAAAAACTATTTTGACATTTTACTTAAACCAAAGTGTAATTTACTTGGTTTCTGGAATCGTTGTTTTCACTTCTCTTTTCATTTGAAAACAATTAGAGAGATTTTTTTCGGAATGGAATGGTTCATGAATATTGACTGGCTACAACAAGAAGTTGAAGAAGATTCTTGGCGCTAGGTGGATCGGCTTGATGTATTGGATGCTTTTAAATAAATTAATTTTTGAAACAAATAAATGTAATGTGTCAATTGTTGGTCTGTCGAGTAGATGACAATGTGGTTTTAGAAGAGAGTAGGTTTGCAAAGAAATATTTAACATTGATTGATTTATATTCCGTAGTAATTGATACACGTCCAGACATAATTCTGTATATAAGCATATGAATGAAAATTTGCAGATTTAAAACTTATCATTTATAATAGAAATATTTGAAATTTCAGTAATAGTGGTTTTATTGGACAACTTTTGAAAGGGTCAAAAATTTTGAAAACATCGAAATATTGGTCCTGCACATAGGATTTTACACATCTGTCTGTTCATGTTAACTTTTAATCAAACTACAAGTCGCAATTATGGCCAGATTCTAACGAAATTGAAAATGTAGGTTGGGTTAGGGTCAGAGTAGAAGCTTATTGTTTTTGGAGATGATCGCAATATATTTAGGGACTCAAATAGACCAAAAACAGAAAAGTTTCCTGATTTTACTGTTGCTCTACAGGCCACAATTATAAAGCAATCGAAGTGGAATTTTGCGTAGAGTTAGAATTTACGGCTGGTAGAAGCTAACTAATTTGGATAGCCATCGGACAATATTTAGCAGTTTAAATAAATCATAACTTTTATGTCAAAAATACGAAAATTTCCACAAAATTCCAAGTATTTTTTATCCCGACGAAATCACAAATACATTAAAAGGTCACTTCTGACCATTACAGTAGCACTGATAGCCAAGATATCGGATTTATACCAAAATAGGTAAATATATATGTGAACGAAATATATCTAATTTATTCCGCTTATAAGTCAAGAACCGCAGGACTCATATTAAAAATTCTCATCAATTCGGAATGCCAAAAAGAATAAAATTTAAGAAAATCACTTTAAAATATGACATTAAAAAGTGAATATTATGTGTTAATTTTTTTTTCAATTTTTATCGCATCGGATGTTTTTCAATTTGATTTATAATTTGAAATTGTACATTTTCTAAAGTTTTTCTACGTCCCGCAACACTACAGGGTGTTATAAAAAAATCATAATATTTACATTTTTTTTAACTTTATTGAATGAAAGCAAAAAATGTCGGAAATAGCATAACATTTTAGAATAAGTTTAGATTTGTTCGAATTAGTCACCTTTGGCACGAATTATTGCCTTCAAACCGCCAATGAAAACGGTATTTTGGCTCATTCCCGGCGAAGCGCTTGCTAGAGGTGATAGCCACTTGTGGTTTTCCAGACAAATATAAAGAAATCACACAGCAGTCTGAAGCTATTACTTTTTTACGTGCACTTACCAACCTACCACAAACAGGCACCCAAAATCTGAAAAATTCCAGCTTTATCCGTTCACATAGTACCAAATGGTACCATTTTAGTTTAGTACCATTTTAGAACTTTTCGCAACCTTAAAATTTACAAAGTCCGTCCGACCGTTCATCTGTCCATGTATTCTTGAGATGAAATTTTGCAAACAATATTTGTTTGAACCAAGGACGAACCCTATTGAAATTGGTGAGAATCGGTTCAAATTCAGATGTAGCTCCCATATTTACATATCATCACCCGATATTGAGTTTATTGTGCACTAAATAGCCAATATCAGTCCAAATGACCTGCATTTTGGCACATCCAACCGAATTCAGTCTAGAAGCAAGAACACTAAATTTGATGAAAATCCGTTCAGATATAGCTATGGCTCCCATATATATGTTTCATCCGATTTGGTGTTTAGGTCCCTCACATTCGTAATATGAACTTGACAACAATGATATTTGGTACCAGATATCAGCTACAGCCCAGAACTACCTTTGCCAAATGTTATCAAAATAGGTTCAGCTTTAGATATAGCTCCAAAATATATCTTCAATCGATTTGAGGTTAATTTTGCACCATATGGCCAATATAGACCAAATGTCTTGAATTTTGACATATCCGACCGAATTGAGTTTATAAGCAAGTACCTTAAATTTGGTGAAAATCGGTTCAGATATAGCTACAGCTCCCATATATATGTTTTATCCGATTTGGTGTTCAAGTCCCTCACATTCGTAATATGCATTCGACAACGATGATATTTGGTGCCAGATATTTTATAAAGTTCGGAAGTACCATTGTCAAATTTTATAGAGATCGGCTAAGATTTGGATATAGCTCCTATATATATCTTCAACCGATTTCGGGTTGATTGTGCACCAAATAGCCAATACCGGTCCAAATGACTAGAATTTTGATACATCCCACCGAATTCAGTCTAGAATTCGGTGCTAGAAGCAAGCATATCTAAGATTTGGATATAACTCCCATATATATCCTTATTATGATTTCAGGTTTATTATGTAAATAATGGCTACTATCAGCCTAAATGGAGTGAATTTCGGGACGTACGTTACCATTTTGTGGAACTCGCCTCCGAAATATATTTTTTTAATTAAATCCTTCTCGAAATTGTATCATGCACTCTATAGCAAGGTTATTTGGTATAATAGATAGAAATGTCTCCGTCAAATTTAGTGAAAATCGATACAGAATTGGATATGCCTCCCTGCTTTAAAGACAAATGATGATTGGTGGTGTGATCTACTTCAAATAAATTCTTTTGTTACGGGAGCTCTACAAAATATGCATGGCGGTGTAGGGTAGGATAGTTGGCCCCGCCTGACTTTTTACTTTTCCTTACTTGTTTTATATAACTTTAACAAAACTATTATTTTCTAGGCCCTAAATCGCATTTAAAATATCTTAATTCAAATCTTTTTTATTCCGAAGGCTTTCTACAAATAATCGTATCTTATCTTAAAATCAAGCATGGTTACTATTTTATTGGTTCCATTTAGCCTTCCAATTCATTGACATTGCCTCGAGTAACAAACAATGCGTGGTCCTTAAAAATCTTGTGGCGCTAAGCGAAATCAACAACAAATCCTATGGAAATTCTCCTTGAGAATTATAATTAACTAAACACTTGTCGGAATTCACCACCAGCAACGATATGGTTTGTTACAATATTCTCTTATGCTCACAAAATGTTCTCTCTCTCTCTCCTTTCTCATTTTCTCTGCTTTACAACAAAGATTTCGAAAAACAACGTGTTTACTGTTGAGTGGATTGCGAGTGTTGTTCTCACTCAAACATAGCGGAAAACACACACAAACTTGGCCTTTGTTCAAGTAAATTCACCTCTGTGGGTAAGGATAAGGTATCCTTACGCACACCACAGCACAGCACACGGCTGGCAGTAGGAACAGCCATTGTGAGTGTATTACAGAATATTTGGCCCTGAAGCTTTAACAAATATTTCAGTCACACTTTTGACCGCCTTTTGGAAGCATTGCAAATACGCGTGTTAACGTGAAACGTTGAAATAAAGAAGAGAATTGAAAGAAAAAAACATATAATTCGGTACAAAAGCAAATCATGGAATATGATTTGAATATTTAAATCATTTGCAATTAAAGGAAATAAAAAGTAATGAAAACTAAAAAAAATCAAAAATATAAAATTAAATAAATATTGAATTGGAAAATAAACAAATTTTGAAGTGTAAATTAAAAAAAAACAGAATTAAATTATTAAAAATAAATTTTTCGATAAAATCTGAGAAACGTTAAAAGAGAACCCTTTTTGGTTAAATTTCCTGTAATTCAACACATAAATAAGGGTAATTAATTACATGACCCATTTGGATGTGAGTTTTTGGTGGAAGCCCTTTCCTACTCTTCCATTTTTGTTGGATAAATACATAAGCCTCGGCATAATTACAAGCTAAATAAAATCGGATTCCTAAACGGATTTCATTTTTGTTTGAAATTTCTAATTCAACTTTTTGTTACGCCATCCTGCACCTACAAATATAATGTCGTACGGTTCCATTTGAAAAAAAAAATGGAGAGGAAATGTAAAAAGCCATAATCATCAGCATCGTCATTAAGCATTGAGCTCTCTAGAAAAACAAGCAAACAAGAATGGGAATGAATAAAATCATAAATAAAAACGAAAACGAAAAAAACAAGCTAAACAAAAAGGATTATGTAAACAAAATCGTAATAAACCGACACACACTTACATATCTACCTTATCCTTAACCATAAAAAACAACTCGTGCACCCTCACATCCACATGCACACACACAAACATTTACAATCTGTAATACCACCAGTCGTTTTACCCAGTGAAATGGTTAACAAACATTCCGAGCCCGCGTGCAGAGCGTGTCAACTGGATAGTGAATCTTGTTAACTGGATTCACAACTAATGTAGAGCAGTATCTGTATCCTCATTTTAGCGATTTTGTAACCGTTATCTGGTTGACTCTTTGTTGGTCTATCCTTTCACACACACACACACACACACATAAATACTGTAAATCTGTATGTCTCAGTGGATGTGTGGTTGTCTGTTCGTCGGTCTGGCTGCCTGTCTCCAGTCGTTCTAGTGTTGTCTGTTAACGTTGACTGCTATCGCGTTGAAAGGTCATCGTTTATTGTAACCAACAGCAACAACAACACCGACGCCAACAGAAATACACACACCCATACACACAAATATACCCACACATATGCATGTGGATATGTTAAAATACATGAATATTCTTATTAATGTGTGTGATTTTTTTTTGCCAGAGTTGATGATATTTGCGCCTAGCTTCCTGAATGAAACATTGGCGTAAGTTTTGATATATGCGTGTGTCTCATTTGCATCTTCCTCTTAATATCCTGCACCATGGCATGGAGGATTTTACTGTGGTTAACAGTCAATATCAGATTTAGGTTCAGAATATTCATTTTTTGAGGATTTAGAATAGAAAATTGGACTTAAATGAACAGTGGAATGCCTGAACAAGGCAGAATATATTGAACAATTATTTTTGGAATAATAAAACAAAGTTTTGAACTTATATCCTTTAATTCAAATTCCGAACGTGTATTCTTAGACGTTGAACGTCCATGGCGGAAAGTTTTTCTTGCTCTAATTACTCTAACTTTCATTGACAGCTAGAAGTGCAAATACTAACTCAGATATTAAAGTTTCAGTCGGTGATCCGATAGATATATACCCTCAACATCAGTCCACTTTTGTATGTATGTTTCTTTCAGGTAACCTAACAAACGATTGAACCAACATATTCCAACTTTAGACTAAATTTTAGTACAAGAACAGCATAATAACTTTGTTTTTTTCATGTAGGTTCTGAAAAAGCAGAAAGGGCCGAACTTTAAATATCCTCCAACATTTGGTAGGAATTTGCAAATATTCAAAAAAATGAAAAAAAAAATCATTGAAAAATACTGGTAAAGTAAAAACAATTTTAAAAGCAGTAAGTTCGCCTGAGCCGAACTTTAAATACCCTCCACCATTTGAAACGAATTTGGAAATTTTCAAAAAATAAAATCCTTAAAAAATTCTGTTGAAATTTTAAAAATACCGAATAAAGCCGTTATATTGGGGTCTATAGGACGTTGACCTACATAGGCATTGTTTTTCATAAGCCATTACCATATTCAAATTTGAAACTTGAAATAAACGGTGAATAATGTCGCTAAAATTATCAAAATATCGTATATAGGGTGATGCCGTTATATCGGAGCTGTGCGAAGACCTGGACCAGTATAGAAAATTTTCTGTCACAGGCTGTAGCATCCATTACGAACTTCAAATACGACATCTCAAACAATTTCGGTGGGTATTGTACCTAAACTCGTCAAAATATCGAATATAGGAAGGTACTGATATATGGGGCCTATACGAAGATCTGGACCTGCATAGACAATTTTCTGTCACAGACTGTAGTTCCCATTATGAACTTCAAATAAAGAATTTGAAACAATTCCGGTGAATAATGACGCTAAAATCATCAAAATATCGAATATAGGGAGGTACTGATATATGGGGCCTGTACGAAGACCTGGACCTGCATAGACAATTTTCTTCCACAGACTGTAGTTCCCATTACGAACTACAAATACCCAATTTGAAACAATTCCGGTGTATAATATCGCTAAAATCATTAAAATACCGAATATCGGGAGGTACCGTTATATAGGAGCTATACGAAGACCGGGACCTGCACAGATGATTTTCTCTTTTAGGCTGTAGTAACCATTTCGAAGTGCAACTACGAACTTCGAAACATTACCTGTGGATAATGTTGTTCAAATCATCAAAATACAAAATATATGGAGGTATCGTTTTATGGGGCATATGCGTAGATTTGGAGCCGCATAGGAAATTTTCTGACACAGGCTATATCAACTTAACGAACTTACATTACGAAATTTAAAAGTTTCTTTCCTTTCACATTTATCTATTGGGTCCTTTACGAAAATATGGGCACTAATATGCATTTTTCCATAGGCCATTACGATATTAAAATACGAAATTTCGGTTATACTGGGGCTAAAATCACAAGAATATCGAATATACGAAGGTAACGTTATATGGGGGCTATACGAAGACCTGGACTTACATATGCAATTTGTTTGTAACATGGAGAAGGAAGGGAGATAGACCCATACTTACGTTTAAGGAAATCCATTGAATTACTTTCTAAGTCGATTTATGCATGTCAGTCCTCCTGCTACAGGTCGCAATTATTACCCAATTGAGGTGAAATTTTCCAAACAATATCTGTTTGGCCCAAGGACGAACCCTATTGAAATTTATGAGAATCGGTTCAAATTTGGATATAGCTCCCGCATATATCTTCAACCGATTTCGGGTAAATTGTTCACCAAATAGCCGATATCAGTCCAAATGACCTGGCACATCCGACCGAGTTCAGTCTAGAGGCAAGTACATCAAATTTGGAAAAAATCGGTTCACATATATCTATAGCTCCCATGTATGTGTTTCATCCGATTTGGGTTTTAAAGGTCCCCACAAGCGTAAAATGCACTCCACAACAATGATCTTTGGTACCAGATATCAGATACAGATTTTAAATAAGCGTTTCAAATTTAGTCAATATCGGCTCAGATTTGGATATAGCTCCCATATATATCTTTTTCCTATATCAGATTTATTAGGCACCAAATTGGTAATGTCAGACCAAATCGACCAGAAGCAAGTACTTCAAATTTGCGTGAAAATCGGTTCAGATATAGCTATAGCTCCCACATAAATATTTTATCCGATTTGTTATTAAAGTCTCTCATATGCGTCATATGCACTCCACAATAATGGTATGTGATACCGGACATCAGGTATATGCCAAATTTTATGGAGATCGGTTCAGATTTGTATGTACCTTCGATTTTCATCCGATTTTATGGTTATTGTCCACCATATATGTGATATCAGCCCAAGGTGAATAGATTTTTTTCATATTCAACCGAATTTTTCCATTTGGTGAAACTCGGTCCGGTATATCATTGCTCCAATAATATATTTTAAAATAATCATGCACTATACAGCAATGTTTTTTGGTGGTACAAAATCCTCCATCATTTTTTTTTGAAAATTGATTTAGAGTTGGATATATATACCAAATTGTGACTACTCATTCAAGTAAGGTTCATATGATCTACTTTTCATAATTTCCCAGTATAAACTTTTTTCATCTTGCTGCTACTTTTGCAGAAAATTCGCCAAAAATTCGTCTGGAACAATTGCCCTGCCTTCCCATAATTGTGGCTAAAACCTTCAAAATAGAGAAAATTAAAAGGTACCATTCTACGAGAGCTATAAAGTTTAGGTATTATATTGAACTCCAGCGTCTTTCAAGCCCTTTATAATCTTTCCCATTTTGTACAGGAAAATATTAACATAGAATTTAACCGTTAACGTTAAGAGTAAATATTCAAAAAAAAAAAAATCGTTTTTAAACCATTGTGATTATTCATATAAATTTGAACTTTTATCCCACTGTGGATGAGACACAGGCAACGGTCCAGTCAAACGTTATCCACTTTTTTGTTATTCACTTTTTCACAGACGCCATTACTTGTCCCCTATCCTTCACACACACACACACACACAAATCCACTAATGAATATTATATAATTTGAATACATTTGTGCGGATTAAGATGTGTTAAAAACGGATTAAAGTGAATCTATCTATCCATCTATCTATTGCTAGCATAAAAACAAACGACTAACAACTGCATTGTATTTGTTTGGTGACACCCATCTGAACCCCTCCCGGCCAATTAACTACAAGAACGTGTCGAGTTAAAAGTGTGTCTCTTGTGTGGATTCTACTATTTAATGTACGATCGTAAAGGCTAGCTAATACTTGCAATTATGTTTGGGTTTTAAAGCATGGTAAGTTAAGTAGATTTGAATTTAAGACTAAAATGAGTATTATTTTAATTTTTATGAGAATTGTTTAAGAGAGCCAAGAATTTAAGCGATCGGATAATACGATATTTAAAACAAAAGCTTATTGTTTATTCTGTTGCTTCTTGAATCGTTAATACAGGTTTGTGTAAACAGTCCGTGTGTGAAAATCGCTCTAGCTCAGATGTGTATTAGGTATTGAAAATGGGCTATATAGGTCCACGTTTTGGTATAGCCTCCATATACTATACCTACAGATTTAATGTTGTTTGTGTGTTTTAATCACAATTTCAAACAGAAGTTGCTATAAATTGGATGCATGTGTTCCCATTATGTAAGAAACATCCTTGCATAGAATAGGTCTAGGTTTTGGAATAGTCTCCACATAACTGTACTTGCAGATATTCCGTATTTTGATGACTTTTGTCATAGTTTTCAACGGAAAAGTTTCAAATTGGGAATTTCAATTTTCTTATGGGTACTATAGCACATGACAGAAAATTGCATATGCAGGTTCTGGTCTTCGTACTGCCTCCATATAACGGTACCTCTCTATATTCGGTATTTTCATGATATTAGCGTCATTGTTCACCGGATTTATTTCAATTTTCGTATTTAAATAACATAGTGGGCTCTGACAAAAATTGTATATAGAGGGAGAGACAAAAAAACTGCAACAAAATCAAACGCCATAATTTTTATATATCTTTTTTAAATTGTATTAAATGAAAGCAAAAAATGTCGGCACTAGCATCAAATTTTAAAATAAGTTTAAATTTGTTCGAATTGGTCACCTTTGGCACGAATTATGGCGTTTAAACGGCCAATGAAACCGTCACACGCTGCCCGAATGTTGCTCTGCGATATTTTGGCCCATTCCCGTCGAAGCGCTTGCTTGAGGCGACCTTGCCAACCTTGCTTTCCAAAATACTCCGAACACAATAGTCCAACGGATTGGTATGCGGAGATTTTTGAGGCCATTGTGCGCTGGAAATAAAGCGAGGAACCTCAATCTGTAACCATTCGTAGGTGGCGTGAGCTGAGTGCAATGTGCTGAGTCCTGTTGTTGTCCAAGGTCTGCTGCCAAAATGTTTGGGTGCCCAAGGCTTTAATACACCCTCAGGAATATTTTCGCGATAATATTCGGCATTTATTCTGATTCCACGGTCGATTAATACGAGCGGAGAGCGACCATCGGCTGTTATGGCGGCCCACACCATCACCATGGCCGGCGCTTGTGTTCTGGTGGCCAACCGAAGGTGCACATTATCAGCTGACCTCTTTGGCAAGTAAACACGATCATTTAGTTTGTTTACAAACTGCTGGACAACGAAAGTTTTACTTTCGGCCAATCGAAGCAACTTTTCAGCTCTTTTAGTCTATTTTCTTTCTGTTGCGGTGTAAGTTTTTGCACTTTTTGGAATTTCAACGGTTTTACCCCGAGCTCATTTTTCAATATTTGCCGAATGGAATATTGCGATATGTTCAGCTCACGAGCCATTTTTCGGCCACTGCGACGCGGGTTTCGATGAAGTCGCTTCCTTACTTTTCGATCTGTTTCTGCTGATGTTGCTATTTTCTTCCGTCCACTCCCTTGACGTCGGGCTACGCTACCAGTATCACGGTAACGAGCGATAGTACTAACGATTGAATTGGGAAAAAAATCTATCCAATTTGAGCTGATATTACACATATGGTGGACCATAACCGTAAAATCCAATGAGGATATATATCGAAAATGTCGAAAAATCTAAAACGATCTCGCTAATATTTGATAGAGGTATTTTCGAGCTGTATCTGCTGTCCGATATCAAATATCCTTGTTGTGGAGTGCATATTACGCATGTGAGGGACTTTAACTCCAAATCGTATGAAACATATATATGGGAGCCATAGCTATATCTGAACTGATTTTCACCAAATATGATGTATTTGCTTCTAGACTAAATTCTTTTTTAAGTAGCAAAATTCAGTCCATTTTGGGTTAATATTAGCCATTTGGTGTACAATAAACCTTAAATCGGATAAAGATGTATATGACAGCTATATTCAAATCTGAACCAATCTTGACAAAATTTTAGGCACTTATTTCTGAGCTGTATCTTATGTCTGGTACCAATGTAAACATATAGATAGGAGCTATAGCTATAACTGAACCGATTTTAACCATATTTTATGTACTGGCTTCCTGACTGAACTCCGTCGAATTTGCAAAAATTCAGGACATTTGGATTGATATTGGACATTTGGAGCACAATTAACCCGAAATCGGTTGAAGATATATATGGAAGCCATATCTAAATTTTCACAGATTATCTCCAATTTTAATAGGGTTCGTTATTTGTGCAAAATGCCATCTCGATCGGGCAATATAGGCGACCTATACTTTGTTTACAAAAATATAAGGACAGACTAGCCGACAGACATGCATAAATCGACTCAGAATACGATTATATGTAGATCATCAAATGTAACTATGTGTCTATCTCGCTTCCTTCTCCATGTTACAAACAAATACACACAGAGACACAAAGACATAATACCCTTACCACTATGTGGTGTAGGGAATACAAATAATGAGTTACTTTCCACGTTCCAAACAATGATTAACATTTTGTGATAAATCAAATGTAATATAAATTTTTTCCTAACTTTTCCCTACAGAGATATTTTGTAATTTTGATTGAAATTACTAAAGTCAAATGCGCTCTCCAGAATAAATTTAAGAATGCCTTGAAGCTCTCCCTTTACCACAAATCATTCAAAATAAACCTCCACACATTTTATTGCTCGCATTAGTACCTCTATCAAAGTGTCAACCTATGTAACCCTTCAATTTAAAATAATAACGGCAACAAATGCGTACAACTATTCTCACTTAAAATCTCCACAAAATGTCAACTTTTATGGCTTTATTACCTTATTCATAATAATTTCATCGTGTTTGGTCACATTGCTTTTTTGTTGCCGTCTATGTTTAAAACAAAAAGACTCCAAAGTTAAATATTCATGAAATCCCAAAAATGGAAACCTTTTTTTCCAGTTTTCTACATCCTTTTTTTATATTGCAATTTTAATAGGATTATGAAAATTAGTTTTTAGTTTGCATCTAATCTGGATTATGGTTAGAAATTACTGTATAACAATGGATATATATGGTTGTAGATTGACACAATGAGAGAAGGGAGGTGGTTTTTAAAGCAACAACAATAAAAGAAAAACTTAATTAACACAATTTATATATTTCAGGGCGACCTTGGCTTCCATGTTAAATAAGTAAGATTTTAAATGAAATGAAAACAATAGATAATATTTAGGAGGATGTTGGACAATTTAATAATTTAGGTTTTTGTTTTTAAATTTAACATTAGAATAGGACACAAACGCCGAATATAGATTTTGTCCTTGTGTTTTTCTATTTGGATTTGCAAGAAATCTTAATTATATCCTACAACACTATGTGTTGGGGGTTTAATAAGTTTGATTGGGCCAAAAATTATGTAACACCTCGAAATATTGGTTTACCACACAGGAAAGTATATATGAATCTTCCTATCTCACAGAGATGAGTCGATCTAGCTATGTGTGTCCAATTTGGGTCATCGGACATCGGTCATCGGACAATAATTAGCGGGTAAAATAGACCCTAACTTTTATGTAAGAAAATAGGAAAATTTACACTAAACCGCGAATATTTTCAATTCCAGCCAAATCACAAATACATTAAAAGATCACTTCTGACCAATACAGTGATGCTAATAGCCAAGAAATCGGATATATAGCATATATATGTAAAATAATTGATATTATTTATTCTGCTTATAAATCAAGAACCGGCAATTTTTATTTCGATGAAATACAAACGTTATGACGAACTTTATATTAACTCCACACTATGTATGGTGGAGGGTATAAAAAACGTTGACATATTTGGCAAGTTATGAGAGATATGGTATTTGAAAGTTGTGACCCTTCCATGGGTGAGGAACCAAAAGGGGTGGCCCTTGTAGAAATATTGGGATGTGTGAAATTTTTTGTCAAATTGTTAAATTCTTTCTGGTGGAGATACCACAAGTTATGGGCTGATATATCCCACTTGGTATGTGCGAAATTTGAATGCTTTCCCCTTTAGTGGGGGAAGTATCGGAAGGAGTGGTTGGATATAATACATTTTACACATCATCTTTTGCTGGTTGGCCCGATATTTTCCATTTTCTCAACTGGCCTATCGAAGACAAAAAATATTGGGATCACCAAAGATTGAACAAGATCTGATGATACTTTCTTGTTCTATGTCGTAAATTATTTTCTATGAAATGTTTTGCTGTGGATGACGTACCAGAAGGAGTGGACAGTAATATGTATTATCATGTACCAAGTTTGGGCCAAACCGAATGCTCCCTTCAAGAGTTTTTGTGCGCACCATCCAGTCAGCCAGGCATATAGACGGGCGGGCACCCATAGATCGACTCCAAATGTCCTGAAACGGATTTGGTCCTAAGAGACCTAGAATTCAATCATACACGCTATGATTATAGTTATAGTTTAAAGTTCAAAGGACTAAATATGCCGAAGGATTTGTATCTCTTAAATTCGGACAAAGATATATATGGAAGCTATATCCAAATCTGAACCGATCTCGATTTCTGAGCTGTATTTTTTTATATCCCTGAATATCGTTGTATAGACTAAATTCGGTCGTAAGTGCCAAATTTCATCCCATTTGGCCTAATATTACACGTTTGGTGCACAATAAAAGGCAAATCGGACGAAGTTATATATTGGAGCTATATCCAAATCTGAACCGATCTCGATCATATTTAGCAAAGGTATTTCTGAGCTGTATTTGATTAAATTGTAGTATAAATACTAATTCTCGTCAAATTATGTCATTTTTCTAACTGACCCTCATTTATCGGTTAATCTTAACTGACTAACTTTTTTTTTGAGTTACCGACAAAAATCTATAACTTTGAAACCCAAAA